CAGCTCGTACTGCACTCCCCTCTCCTCCGTGCCCTTGAGTCCGCACCCCTGCTCCCTCTTCCTGGCCACTGCGAACACGGCTCCTCGCTCCCCACCTTCCTCTCCACGAGCTCACTGTCCTCACCTGCGGCAAAGTGGACATCCCTGAGCACAGACCTGGCATCTGGCCTCACAGCTCCTTAATCTCATCACTCAGTTCCTTCCCCTGTTTCTCCCGCCAACTCAGCCATTCACCCGCAGACACAGGGACCCGGACAGGTCCCCAACACTGCTCAGAGTGGGAACACTCGCTAATCTCCATCACATCTTTCAAGATCATCATTCAAAGCCCTTCAGCAATAATTGTTTCAACTCAACAAGACCATTCAAGCCAACAGGCCTAGCACCTCCTTTCCCACATGGAGGCTGGGCCTGGGTGTAAACTCAGAAGCACGGGGCCGTGTGGGAGGGAAGGCGGTGAGGGCAGAGCCCTCCAACAGACTCGAGCTCTGCCTTCACCGAGCCCCACGCACCCTCTGGAGACCACCACGCAACTAAGCAACTGATTTCTTTTCCCTCAAGTTCCTGATCGCAAACTTGGTTTCTATGAAACCCTATCCTTTCTCCCCGGCGAGCCAGCTTTCCCAGCCTCTGTGACGACAGCCTCCTCCACCTCAAGTCCCATGGACACTCGCCTCCTCCTTTCTCAGGGTGACCTCGACGAACTCCGTTGTCGGAAGCCTTTAGGTACAAGATCCCTCACCCTCCCGCCACCAAATCTTACCCTACTCCATCTACTTTGATCCATCTGTTCTTCCTGTCACAGCAGATGAAGTGTCCCTTGTCCAACCTAAGGCCAGTTACTCTGGGTCATTCCCTTCTGCCCAGCATGTACCTTCACTTAGCCCCTGTCTGGCCTCTATCTTCCATGCCTCCCTCTGGAGTGAATCCTTCTCCATTAGTGGTTAAACGTGCCTCTCCCTCAGAGCCCGGCTCCCGCATCTAGACACACCTTCACCTGCTCACCTCTGGGCTCTGTACAACCACGCAATCTGTCTTCTCTGGTACATGGAGTCACTGAAAACACTCATCTTGCCAAATCCAATCAAAACATGTGTTACCAACCTAACCTAACTCTCAGAAACAGTAAAAAGTGACTATTTCCACCCTGGCCAGATTGGCTCAGCAAGTGGAGCTCAGCCTGCAGACCAAAGGGTCTCAGGTTCGATTCCCAGTCAAGGGCACATACCTGGGTTGCAGGTTCAATCCCTGGCACTGGTCAGGGTTGTGTGGGAGGCAACCAATCGATGTGTCTCTCACATCAATGTTTCTTTCTCTCTCTCTGTCTCTACTCTTCTTCCTCCCTCCCTTCCACTCTATCTAAAAATGAATGGAAAAATATCCCGGATGAGGATTAACAACAACAAAAAAAGAAGTGACCATTTCCTCCTTCATAGCACAGGATCCCATTCCTTCCACTAAAGCAACTCGCCTGAGTTCATTCTATTTCACCACTGTCCCTTCTCCCTCTCTGGTGTTACTTCCTCTTCCTGTTCAATTTCCTTTGTCCCTTATAAAGCTCCATGAGGACAGACAACACCTGCTTTGCTCATCATTGCCTATCCTACTACTTGGCTCAAAGAAACTGCTCACTCAATATTTGTTGGCTAGATGTAAAACAAAATAAATAAACCTCTATCCACACCTAATACCTTACCCAAAACTAACTCAAAATGAATCGTCAGCCTAATGATAAAATCTAAAACTATAAGAATTTTAGAAAAGTGTCCGGCCGGTGTGGCTCAGTGGTTGAGCATCGACCCATGCACCACAAGGCTGCTGGTTTGATTCCTGATCAGGGCACATGCCCAGGTTGTGGGCTCGGTCCCCAGTGGGGGCATGCAGGAAGCGGCCAGTTGATGTTCTCTCTCATTGACGTTTCTCTCTCTCTCTCTCTCTCCCCCTCACTTCCTCTCTCTCTAAAATCAATAAAGAAAAATTTTTTTAAAGAATTTTAGAAAGAAACATAAGAGGAACTTTTTGTGCCCTTCAGTTAGACACGGGTTTGTTTTAGAGACATCAAAAACATGACTCATAAAGGAAAAAAGTGATACATGGGACTTCATCAAAATTAAGAACTTTGCTTTTGGTGACACTATAAAGAAGAGACAACAAGCCACAGTCTGGGAGGAAATACTGTAAACCATGTATCTGATAAGACTCACATCCAGAATGTATAAATCACTCTCAGATACAGATAGGTACTTAGATAGACAGCTAAATATCACAGACAGCTAACTGGCTAGCTAGCTAGATAGATAGATAGATAGACAGACAGATAGACAGACAGACACACACAGGCAGGTAACACTCAAAGCTCAGTAATAAGAAAACAAACCCCTTTAAGAAAACTTAGAATTGCTCTGGCCAGTTTGGCTCAGCGGTTAGAGCGTCGGCCTGCGGTCTGGAGAGACCCGGGTTCGGTTCCCGCTAAGGGCATGTACTTCGGTTGCAGTTTGTCCCCGGCCCTGGTTGGTCGTGCGGGTGGCAGCCACTCGATGTGTCCCTTCACGTCGATGTTTCTCTCTCTCTTTCCCTTCCTCTCTCTCCCTCCCATTCTATCTGTACAAAAAATGGAAAAATATCCCCGGGTGAGGATTAAAAAAAAAAAAAAGAAAACTTAGAATTAATCATTTCCCCAAAATGAGTTGCTCTGGACCCTTCCAGTCTCATCTCTTCTGACCATGTCTCCCATTTGCAAAATGAGATGGATTTTCACTAGTTATACCTAGATCATGAGACCTCTACTATGGTGCGTTGCCTGTATTATACTTTCTCATAAACCTATAAACTTGATGTTGAGTGAATATAAATGTAAATAAATAAAACATACATTAATGTACATACTATTACATATGTATATACATATATATGGGGGTTGAATTTACCAGTAAAGACATCTAAGCCCAGAGCTGGAATTTTTTTGGGGGGAGGGCGAGTTAATAATGAAAGGGCCAAACTACAATGTCTGTTAATATTCTTCCAGTTCTAAATTTTAGGGTCTATATTCAATTTCCCAATATATCCACTGCATGTTTAAGACTACATATATGTACCAAAATGTCAGGAATATTTCTTAAAAAGTATTACACACATGCCTACTGGGTGATAAGTGTGTTATCAAGGGGGAAAAGCCTAAGGATCAGGCTATATTTTTCCATGGAAAGGATAAAAAAGAATCCAATTAATGCTTCTAAATACAAACAGGAGGTGATGCTCAGCTCTTTTCTTAGCCACTGACGACAAAATAAGATGAAAGAGACTTAAACTACACCCTGAAGATAGTAAAACAGAATTTTCCCCATCTCTCTGCCTCTTTGTAACAAATGACACCGACATACTTTGCTAGCATTCTTTTAATCGTTTATTAAACCTTTCAACGTTGACTGAGTGCCTGATGTTAGGCACTGCGGGAAACATGGATGAATAATAAAATGAGGTTCTATGCCTTTAAAATGTCTCTAGAATCTTCAACCACAATTTTTACTGTCCATTAATAGTAAACCTACTGGAGAAATCAACACATATCTCACACTTAAAATTTCATTAATAATCTACTGAAAAATGATCTACAAACACCAGCTTAGAGTTTCACAGAAACGTGGTCCACGGAGCACTGCACCACGGAGCACTGCATCTAAGGTTCACCAGCAGACTTCACTGGGCTCCCATCCATCTGCCTGAAATCACCGGCAAAGTGCTCACTATATTTTTCTGGAGAGGCTGTCTTGGCTTCCATGAATCTCCAATGGTACTAATCACCAATGGAATGCAACTGCATTTCACATAGCAGAAACTCGAATGAATGAATGAATGAATGAATGAATGAATGAATGAATGAATGAATAAGCAGGGAAAAGATGAAAACAGAAAAGATATATCGGCTAAGCCTACTTCTTCCTGAAGTTGCAAGATGAATTCTTGACCTTGAGAAACTTTGTTTCCAGTGTTTGAGTGACCTCTAGAGGCTGCTTCAATTGTTACAGCCAATTGAATAAAAGATGGAATCACAGAGGAAAATGGGGCTCAGTTTCAAGTGACTCTGTGATCCCCATTCTCCGACAGGACCTAGTTCACAATATACTGTGTTTAATTCAACACAGTTGCCCAGATAGCTAAATATACACTGTTGTGCTTTTCTTTAATGAAATAAGTATGATTTTTCCCAAGTTTCATTTCAAATTAATAAAACATCATCTGCAAATGTCGTAAAGGGAACGGTGCAGGAATGAACACCCATCCCTCCTCTCAACAGAGGCAGCATCAGGAATGCAATGTTTAATAAGGGATGGAAACAGGAGTTGGGGAGATAACTTGGAGAGGTACCCAGTCTGAGGAGCGGAAATACTAGCCTAAGAGCACAGGGACACAAGTGTGGTTTAAGAACCACCAGGCCAAATGCTCCTGGCGGCAGTAGCAACAGCAATTGCCAGAGGCATCAGGTCACAGGCATGGAGCCACCGTGAGTTGGGCACATCCCCGGTTACCACAAATGCCCCCTGCCCAGACCTGCAGGAATTCCTACGGCAGCAGTATACAGTCTCCAGTCATGGTCACAGGAGTCCCAAGCACAGGGACCACACAGCGGGGTGGGCAGCCTCTCAGCTCCAGCGTTGGGTGATGGCGTGTCTTCCCCAGACTCTGCCCTCATCTCCAGACCTTCCTTGACCTCTACCTATACATACCTTACCCTCATGAAATGGGCCTTCTCCAAACATAAGGGAAATAACGAGTAGAGCCCACAAACCCGTAACTCTGCCATACCACCTTTAATAACAGAATATGTTTTATGTGTCCAGCTGTTTTTAAGCCTAAAGGTCTACAGGTTGTCGTTTTATAACAACGGGCACAATTCCACAGAGAGAACTTCGTGAAGGTCAATGAATCTGCGTATTCTCAATTACAAAATGAAGAACAATCTTTTCTGTCATTCACAATATTTCAGTAATAAAGGAAATTACCTCAACAACAGGTATGTTTTCTTGCAGTTCAGCTGTGTGGGAGGCCAGTAAACCAATCACGCGAGCGACCTTGGCCCGTCTGTAAATGGAGAGAAAATAGTCTTTGAACAGGAGAGCCAGGGACTGAGGAATCGACCCTGGGAGAGTTCCAGTAAGTGATGATGAGCATTAACATGAGAGCAGAGCGGAACGAGACAGGGCGAGCATGCACGCCCCTGCCGTATACAGAGCCCAGAGAAGCACTCTGTACACAGGGAGACCTGAATAGCATGCCCTCCACAGTGCCACATGTATAAGTGACAGCAAGTGACCAAGTTGTACTTTTACAGCAAAATGGAAAACAACATTGTCAAAGGCCTGAACCAGAGAGGACGACACAGTAATTAGCTCTTTTATTTCTGAGTACAGAGGTATTTGGCTAAAGGTCTCTGTTCTACTTGTTAGTAGACCAGTAATTTCATATATAAGTAATAAATAATACCAGAAGTGCTACAAATGTACAAGGTGTGGCAAAAATAGGTTTATAGTTGTTTTTACAGAAAATAACACAATCATTAATAATAATACAAAAATAAAGTCTGTTTTGCATACTCACAACTGTTAACCTACTTTTGCCCCTCACTGTATGTATATATTCACTTTAACACAAAGTTTTACAATCATAAATCTTACAAATATTGTTCTATTTTGTTTATTTATTATTTGTTTTTTGTTAATTTTCACCAAAGATATTTTTCCATTGACTTTTTTCCCTTAGAGTGAAAGGAGGGAGGGAAGGAGGGAGGAAAAGAGAGAGAGAGAGAGAGAAACATGGATGTGAGAGAGACATATTAGTTGGTTGCCTCCCACACAACCCGACTGGGGTCAGGGATCAAAACTGCAACCCAGCCCTGGCCAGTTTGGCTCAGCGGTTAGAGATCGGCATGCGGACCAATGAGTCTTGGGTTTGATTCCAGTCAAGGGCACACACCTTGGTTGTGGTTTGTCCCTGGCCCTGGGCAGGTCATGCAGGAGGCAACAGGGTGATGTGTCTCTCACATGGATGTTTCTCTCTCTCTCCCCCATCCCCTCTGTCCTTCCCTCCCACTCTATCTGATGATAAACAGCAAAATGTCCTCAGGTGAGAATTAAAAAAATAAAATAAAATAAAATAAATAATAATAATAATTAAACCTGCAACCCAGGTACGTGCCCTTGACTGGAATTGAACCCACAATCCTGGGTCTGCAGGCCAACACTCTAACCGTTGAGCCAAACTGGCCAGCACAGTATTGTTCTTTTTTAATAAATACTAGTAAATGCTAGTTTTAGTGAGGTGTTTCTGTTTCATTATCTAGCAGAAAACAAAGTTGATAAATTATTAAATATCACTTAAGGTGATTCAAAAAAGGTTATTTCATGTAGAAAAGTATTTCTGATAAGAATCTTTTTTTTAATGTGAGCAAGAATGGTTGCGTGTGTGAGTTGATGAGAACTATACTCTTACTTGGTGATGCCTGCATATTCTCTGGGCTATTTAGCCAAAGAGCGTCTACTTTCAGGTTCTTAAAATAACTAAACAAAACCCCCGCCCCAGAGGGAAGCAAATCAGACTCAGAGAAGAATCAGAGGGAGGTGTTTGTGTTGTCAGAACTCTGACATACAAAAATAATTCTTATGGACTTCATTCCTTCTTGAATTAGCCATTCAAATCTCTTAACATGCAGATGAAAGAAGTCCAGGCATTATATGAAAATGATGTGGTAGGACAGTGGATAAAAAGCTACAAGTTACAAATGTAAAACTTTTATGCATCAAAGGACACTATCAACATAGTGAAAAGACACTCTACAGAATGAGAGAAAGTATTTGTAAATCATATATCTGATAAGGGATTAATATCCAGGGTATATAAAAATCAACAACATAGAACAAGCAATCCAATTAGAAAATGGGCAGAGGACTTGAACAGACAGTTCTTCAAAGATACACAATGGTCAATAAACACATGAAATCCAGATGATCAATATCACCAGTCACAGTGAAATGCAAAGCAAAACCAGGAGATACCACTTCACACTCAGGAGGATAGCTACTATCAAAGGAAAAAAACAAAGAGAAAATTGGGAGAATGCAGGAAAACAGAAGCCCTCATGCACTGCTGGTGAAGTGTAAACTGGTGCAGCTGCTACGGAAAACACGGTCCTCAAGAAGTTAACCTGGGACTGCCCTATATCCGGCCATTCCACTCCTAGGTCTACACCCAAAAGAACTGAAAGCAGGGACGTGAACAGACACTTGTAGACCAGTGTCCGCAGCAGCCTTTCACTCACAACAGCCAAAAGGTAGAAGTGACCCAAGTGTCCATCCACAGATAAAAACATAAGCAAAATGCTGCATTTACATACATGGAATATTATTCAGCCTTAAAAAGAAAGAAAATTCTGATACATGCAACAACATAAATTAACTTTGAAAATGTTAAGCTAAATGAAATAAGCCAGACACACAGGACAGATATTGTATGATCCCACTTACATTAGTACCCAGAAGAGGCAAATTTGAAGAGACAAAAGGAGCACAGAGGTTACTGGGACAGGGAGGAGGGAACCAGGGAGCTATTGTTTAACTGACAAGAGCTTTCTTTAGGATGATGAAAAAGTCTGGAAATCGACAGCGGTGAGAGCTGGACAACATTGTAAACATACTTAGTGACAATGAACTATACACTTAACATTTATACTATGTATATTTTACCACAATTAATAAAGTTAAAATTTATAATTATGAAAATTGTACCTCAGTAAAGTTGATTGATAAAGGTTACAAAATTTGATAAATATCCACTGCTTAAAGTTCTAACTAAGGGGCATTTTTATACACATTGACTGGGAATAATGTTGATACAATCTTTCTAAAGAGCATTTTAGCAATTTAACAAAAATATTTATTGCCTTCTAGCCATTCATTCGAATGGTATAAATCTGCCCTAAGAAGTCAAAGAAAACAGAGAGGCACAAAGATTTAAGCACAAAATGTTCATCACTGTACTGTTTACAGTTTTTACTATAGGGAAACAAAATAGGAAAGAATGTAAATAAACTGTCAGATATGTATAGTATATAAAAAAAGGCATATCTTAAACAAATAATTAATGATATTAAAACACATAACATGTTATAATGGGAGAGTAACTTATAAAATCATGTTATTCTATTTTGTTTTCCTGTATGTGAAGGAAGCCAAGAAATAAACATACCTATGTCAACAGTGATCCCCCAGCTAAATGAAAGACCTTTATCAGATGCTATCAGGGTGATAGGACCTGGGGCAGAGAGAGACAGAGAGACAGAGAGACAGAGAGAGACAGAGAGAGAGAGAGAGAGAGAGAGAGAGAGAGAGAGAGAGAGAGAGAATAAAAGGCTTTAAGCAGAGGACTCATCTATCTTTTCCTCAAATTAAATGTGTTTTACAAATAAACTTCAATTTAAAAACTAGGGGAAATAACAGTTTGAAAGCAGTACCTGGGAAGGATTAAGAGCGTCTCTTTTAAAGAGTCAGCAGGGGGCACCCCACTCAAGGATATAATTTAGTTTTAGCTGCAGTGTTAGATTTTGTTGCTTTCTTTTTAATAAGCATACCACAAATCTTCTCAATGTTTTACATGCACAGAAATTACCTAAAAATCCTATTTTGCAATGCCAGATTTTACCCTGGGAGAGTAACATTAGAGAAAGTATAAGAATAATTATCAAAAAAAAAAAAAAGCCCCTGGCCAGGTCTCATTGGCAGCCAGAGCCCAGAGCCTCCCAAGGCTTCGGCTAACACGCTTTCCCCGTGGCGTGCTGTCTCCACAAGCAAGCACACGTCCTCCCATCAGGAGCGTACAGTCACAATCCCATTAGACTGTGAATAGCACCATAAGGAAGCCAGGCACCCGTAAGAGAGAGACAGAGTGGCAAGGGAAAACTCCTTGGGACGTGTAACTAAATTACAGTACGACATCAAGGGAAACACTTGGTAAAGAACACTTGAAAGAGTAACCGTTAGTCCAGTTTCCAGACATGCTTTATATAATCTGAGAATTAATTCATAATATTAAGATCATATTTTTATCCTAATATCAGGTTATGGACTGTTTTGAAATGGAGGCTACATTCACTATTGGATGCCTAGACAAATTACCTACGATTCAGAGTCATCATTACTGGAGAGTATTTTATGACTAAGTATTTAGGGCTACGTGCTTTTGAAAAATGTAGATGCTGTCACTTCTCAATAAAATAATGAAGAATAAATTGTTAAAATGTAAATGTTACTTACATATCCCAGTTCGGAGCTACTCGCAAATTCTGGATTAGCAACTGGAACTAGGATGAAAACGAAAAGGTACGTTTCACTCACGGAGCCAGCCACACGGCAAGCGGCCACAGCGAGAACCAGACCCGTGTGACTGAAACGGGAACCCCGCCCGGGAAGATAATTACTTACAAAACTGCAAAAGCACGAGTATATGAATAAGATGAAAATAAAAACTAAACACTACTTTCCATTTCTCAAACCCGGTTATATTCCCTAACTGGGTCCTGCCCCCCACCCCATAAACACACACCAAGAACCAAAAAGTAACCTTAAAACTATTCTGAAAGCAAATGTCTTAAATTTTCAAGCCAGTTCCCAAGTGAGGCCCCGCTATGGAAAACACCCCCAACACTATAACCTCTTTCTAGGGATGACTTCAAAAGCTCTGCCAACTTCCCATGGCCCTGCTGAAGAACCAAGCCAGTCCGGGGAAGTCTTAGAGACTCAAGGTCGCCCTTCAGTGTCACATCGGAAACCTTGGAGTTTACCAGGGGGCTCAGTAAAGGAACCTCTGTTTCACATGGACAGCTCATTTCAGAAACTGATGAAAAGGCCTCTGTCTTATGCTTTCAGACGTGAAAAATATCATACAATTATTACAAGTTAAGATAAAATGCAAGCCAGAGTATTAGCAAAAGTAGTTCAAAACCACTGTCTACTCACTGCTTTTAGACCTAAAGGATTAAACAGAGGATAATTTGACAAACCTATAATCTTGGTAAGTCACTTTTCCATTGTATTGGAACAAATTAGTATTTCAGCACTTGTATTAATCTCTATAGATATACAAAGTTACACGCAGAAGGCATGCTGCAAGGACCCTAAAGGAGTCTTTGTGTCACAACTTAATTACTTACCAGGGGGGAATGGAGGAGCCTGGTGGCCACCTCCCTCTGACCGGCCACCGTGCACAAATAGCACAGGAGGTTCAGCTTGACTCGGGAGGCTCCCGTGGTCTTCTCCGTGGAGTCGATCTGTGAGCACACTTGTTGCAAAAAGTCATTCCAATCCTGGTCTTTCAGTAATACTAACTTATCCACTGAAGAGGAAAGAAAGTGTTAAAAGTGGGTTCATGGAAAAGGACTCCCGAAAATATTACACGAGAAATAAAATGGAACACAGAATTTCGACAGCTGAGGACAAGGAAGTCGTGACTTCACAATGTCCACACCAAAAATTCTCCAAAGCTGATACTATTTTATTTACTCTTCTATACTCATTTCTTTTCTTCCTATGGAGACTGTCTTTAACTATGTCGATGGAAAAACTATGCTTAAAAAAATGAGAGAGAGATGCCAAAAGGAGAACTATCCTACAACTGAGAATACAACTAAACGCAAAGTTAAATAAAACTGTACTGTGGAAGAAACAAAAAGTCCCTTTTGCGTAAATAAAGCAAGCCAACCTTTAAATAACAGAGAAGCCAACAATTCCACAGTTGTTAGAATGTTCCAATGAACTGACTATTAAGCACAACCAGGTTAACGTGATAGCTGGAGCCATGTGGCGAACAAACCAAAGGCCAAGGCGAGGAAAAGAGATGCATCCAAAGTTAACACGGTTGAGCTGATCTCCACCTTTAAACAAAATGAACTGCAATAATCACTTCCCAGAATAACTCAAGGTAAAGGCAAAAGGGAAGGAATATTATTTTGATAATAATCCTCTAGGTTTTCACAAATAGTGGTTCTACTTGGCATGATTTGTTTAAATTTTACTATATTTTATTTTTTATTAACTTTTATTTTATTTCAAATCAGAGATTCTACTCTAGCCATGATGCTAAAGTTTTTCCAAATCTAGTTCAACAGCATTATCAAACAAAATACATCAAAAATGTAAGGTATAAAAAAATGTCTGCCCTGGCTGGTGTGGCTCAGTTGGTTAGGCCCCACGTTCTGAAAGGCTGCTAGTTCAATTCTTAGTCCAGGCACATGCCCAGGTTTCAGTCTCAGTCCCTGGTAGGGGGAGTGCAGGAGGCAGCCAACTGATGTTTCACTCTCACATCAATGTTTCTCTCTTTCTCTCTCTCTCACTTTCCCTCTTCCTTCCTCTCTAAAAATCAATTAAAATATATTTTTTAAAATTTTCTGATGTTCACCCGAAATCAGACTTTCCATTAGGTGAAAGGAAATGTAACTATCTTCCTTTAGGTATCTCTATCCCCACAAAAGTGAACCTTCTGGCCATTTTCAACAGCCTGGGATTCCTTGAGTAAACTCTCAATTCTTCATTGTGGTCTCCAACCCAACACACCCACAACAGCACCGTAAATGGCAGTCAATGGGTTCTAAGAGGGAAAGGCAGGAGAAGGGCCCACCCACTGAACAGGAAAACTCACCCAGCTTTACAGGAAATCTCCCACCCACAAGAGTACAGGGCAGCCCCGACTCAGCTGAGAGCAGTTAGAGGCTGGCACAAGCAGATTACAGGTTGTTTATGATTTACATGACACTGCCAAGAAAACAGCCAGTTGGCAAGAAAATAGAAATTTAACTATTCATGAATAAAATATTCCGTTTGCTATTAAATTTCTGTCTGTAAAGTGTCTGCATGTTCAATCAGCTCCTTATGATCTTACCTGAATGTGCTGGTAGATGCAACACTTTGGGATCAAATTTAATTGGTGGTTGTTTCATTATCTATGGTTAAAAACAAAAACAAAAACACCTTTTGAGACAGACATTGGCTCCTGATTTATCTCCTATATCAGATTATAAATCAATGAGACAAGAAAAGAATGCTGTAAAATTCGTCACCAATAAGAATTCAATGGTGCCCTTTCAGATTAAAATATACAAATATGGATGATAACTTATAAAAATAAAATAATTTTAATTGACAGTTGTAAGAAAATAAAGTTTCATAAAAGAGTTCCCTACCTTGGCTTATTTTTAAGCTAATTTAGCTCTAGGCTAGCAATTGGGCCGTTCAACAAGATATGTGTTGGATTCCTGCCAAAGTAAGGTACTACGCTAAGTGTCAAGGGAGACACCAAGATACAGAAGACATGATCCTGCTGTGAGAGAGTTGACACTCTGGTTGGTAAGACAAACATTGGTTAAACAAAAATAACACCTAAGGAACAATGTAAAACAGGCAGGACATAATTACAGACCAAACATTTCGCAAGAGAAATCTTTTTAAACATTAAGTAGAGAATGCAGCAAGCACTTTAGGCCAATGTGGTCAAGACGAGTTTATGGAAGAGGTAGAGGTGGACTGAGGTCTTAGGAATGGTTAGGACTTGATGGTTGAATTCAAGAAGACACCATTCCAGGAAGCTGTGAGCACCTGAATAGAAAAAAGTCTTTTTTTTTTTTGAGGAAAGCAAATATGTAATTAGATCATGAGCTTGGAATAGGTGGAGTCCTTCCTCTTGAGACTTTTAGTAAAAATTCAACCATAATTTATTTATATATCTAACTGGTCCAAAATCTATAGTACAATTTTAAGACCGCTGCTGGTAATATTCTTGCCAGAAATACATGATCTCATTCTCATCAAGAGAAGCCCTTAGACAAACCTAAATTGAGGGACAGTCTACAAAATACCTGATCACTTCAAAGTCAAGGTCATGAAAAACAAGCAAAGATTGAGAAATTACCCCAGGGCCACGAGAGACAAGGAGCGGCAGTCGGAGGGTAAGAGGACATGAAAGAAAAACGTGGATCCTGGGACAGAAAAGGGACACCCGGGCACAACTGCTCAAATGCCTATGTTCGGTTTAGTAACAGCACTGTGCTAATGTTAATTCCCTGGTTTTGCTAACTATCTATGGTCCTGTAGGGTGTTAATAGTTGGAAAAACTGGGTAAAAGGTATACAGAAACTCTAATCTTTTTTAACCTTTTCTATAAGTCTGAAATCAGTTCAAAATAAAAGCTTATAATAAAAAAAAAAATTAAGCTACTGATTAACATTTTCCAGAAACAATAAAATGTGGTTATAGGATGAAATAAAAAAAAGAGAGAGAATATGGTAAAAAAAAAAAAAAGATATAGATATACATATAGATATAGATATATAGATATAGATATATAGATATAGATATAGATATAGAGATATAGAGATGGATATATAGATATGGATATTTATGGATATGAATTTATAGATATGGATATATAGATATAGATATGGATATGGATATATATAGATATGGATATATAGAGATATAGATATCGATATGGATATATAGATATAGATATGAATATATATAGATATATATAGATAGAGATATAGAGATATAGATATAGATATATAATATATAGATATATAGATTTAGACAGAGACAGAGACATAGATATATAGAGTAGAGAGATACAGATACAGATAGAGATATATATAGATAGATAGATATAGACATAGACACAGATATATATATAGATATATATAGACATAGACATAGATATATAGATATAGATATATAGATATGGATATATAGAGATAGAGATAGAGATATATAAAGATAGAGATATAGAGAGATAGAGATATATAGATATAGATCTATAGAGATAGAGATATAGAGATATAGAGATAGAGATATAGAGATATAGAGATAGATATATAGAGATATATAGAGATAGAGATATATATAGATATAGATATATAGAGATAGAGAGATAGAGATATATAGAGATATATAGATATAGATATATCACAAATTGTTCTACAAGGTCTGCTGGGAAAATGCCCCATTACACATTAAATTCAGCATATTATACAGTTACTCTGCCAGATATCTAAACTCATAAAAAGCAGCAGCTACATTATGAAAAATAGCTGGGTAATCTATATTAAATGTTGTCTTTCCCATAAACAAACACACATCCAATAACTGATTTATTCTAAACTATAGCAAAGCAGTTCCCCAATGAGAGCAGAGGAAACTATCACAGATTAATACAGAAAAAGACACTTTAAAACGTTAAAATACAAAATAGATGGTGGCGGAATGTGTTGAGAATGGACAGCAATAGAAAACAAAGAGACTGCCCTAGCCAGTTTGGCTCAGCGATTAGAGCGTCGGCCTGAGGTCCAGAGAGACCTGGGTTCGGTTCCCGCTAAGGGCACGCATCTCGGCTGCAGTTTGTCCCCGGCCCTGGTTGGGTTGCGTGGGTGGCAGCCACTCGATGTGTCCCTTTCACGTCGATGTTTCTCTCTCTCTCTCTCTCTCTCTCTCTCTCTCTCTCCCCCCCCCTCCCTCCCTCCCTCCCTCCCACTCTACCTGAACAAAATAATGGAAAAATGTCCTCGGGTGAGGATAAAAAAAAAAAAAGAAAACAAAACAAAGAGACTGAGCAAGTGAACTTTTTAAGGAGAATCCTCATTCCCTAGTAAGAGTATCACATTCCAAAGGACACGGGGCAACAAAAGCACACTGGGGTGGAAGTGCATCGCAAACCATGAGTCCCCGAGCTCCCAGTGTCTGCCACGGTCCCCCGAGGCCCGAGGGCACAGTCTCTGTGTGGTCAGCCCCCCAGCCATGCCTGGTGAGTGGTGCTCACTGGCATCTGCCTTCGCAACACGTTCATCACCTGAACATCTGGAGTCACCCACATTAAGCTGCACTGAGAAACGAAGGTCAGGACTAGGGTCTGAGGTCTGCAAGCCACAGCCCGTCTCGGCCGCCGGGCTGGTGGAGCAGAGCTGGCGCAGAGGGAGAAACTCACCAGGCAGGAAGAGAGGGTTACAGGCAGGGTGGGAGTTAGTTAGACATGTAGACACGGGCATGAAAGAAACCAAAGCGGACAAGAGGAAAAGGAATGAAAATACCACCCAGATTTCGGTCCTCAGTGAAATCTAAAGCTCGGCCCTCAGTGGGTGGGCCGTCGTTCCGCACCTTTGGATTGTCAATAATTGGGGTGACGACGAGCTCTGAGTCAGTGTAGATGAGCTCTCTCATCTGGGATTCCAAGTCCTGCTGGCTCAGGTGCCCACTTGTAGACTGAAACAAGAAAAAAATTAGACTTTGCCTCTGTGGCTAACGAAGAGCTTGCAAAGACTGAACTAGTCAGATGCTGAGTAAGACATCACTGAAGGTCATGGATACCAATGGACCTCAGCTGCTATTCAAGACACTTTCACAGATGGTCTCATTTGATCTTCATAAAACTCCTAAGTTGTATGTCACTATTCCCATTTTAACAGGCGAACACCAAAAGTTCAGAGAAAGTGACCAAGCTGCTCGTGTCTGCCGGTGGGGAGGACTAGAAAACAGGTCTTCTGCAATCTGATGTTCTAAACTATGAAAAGGCGAATTAGTTTTATAATTACCAGCATGATTTTTAATCTTTCATGTACTGAACACTAATCAGTTTAATTCTGCTTTATGGAATATTCAATATAAAGTTAAAATTATAGCATAAAGAATGTCAGGCTAAATTGCTGAGCTGTTACCTAAGTGTTAGACACCTCTATCTTTATAAAACCTAGGTGAAGGAAAGTTGATATATAATCAAAATGAATCACAAACTGTTTGCCATCAGTTATTCCTTTGAGATGTTTCTTTGTTCTCTACTTAGAACCTTTTATTCCTAGTGCTATGCCTTAGTATGTCACATCAGACAAAAAAAAAAGAGGATTTATGCATTAAGAATTCCCACTGAAACACTGACCAGCAAACTGAATAAAACAGAAAACCAAATCAGTGAAATAAAAAATGAGGAAAATAAATTATCTAAAACTCAAGTAGGGCCATGGATAAAGAAACAGACTTAACAGTTAATAAAGTTTCTGGAAACCAAGATCACCCCTTTGCAACTTAGAAGACAAACATATTAAAAAATAATAGCAGCCCTGGCCAGTTTGGGTCAGTGGTTAGAGCATCGGCCCATGGACCAGAGAGTCCTAGGTTCGGTTCCCGCTAAGGGCACGTACCTCGGTTGTGGTTCATCCCCCGGCCCCAGTTAGGGTTGTGTGGGTGGCAACCAGTCGATGTGTCTCTCTCACAGCGATGTTTCTGTCTCTCTCTTCCTCCCTTTCTTCCTCCCTCTCTATCTGAAGATAAATGCAAAAATGTCCTCAGGTGAGTATGAAAAAATAATAATAAGTAAGGAGAAACTTTGTAAAAAAAAAAACTGTTTATTTTATTTTTTTTATCTTTATTATTTAAAGTATTACAGATGTTCCCCCCTTTTTATTCCCTGTTGAATGTTTAAGAACATGGACTTTCACCCGGCCAGTGTGGCTCAGTGGATTGAGCATCGTCCCATGGACTGAGAGATCCTGGTTTGATTCCCAGTCAGGGCACGTGCCCGGGTTGTGGGCTTGATCCCCAGTAGGGGGCGTGCAGGAGGCAGCCGATGGATGTTTCTTTCTCACATCCATGTGTCTCTCTCTAAAAATAAAATAAAAACATATTTTTTTTAAAAAAGAACATGGACTTTTAGAACATAATGAGACAAATATTGTATGATTCCACTTATATGAGATTACTAGGCAAATTCATAGAGACAGAAAGTAGAATAGTGGTTACCAGTGCTGGCCTAAGGGAGAATGGATAGTTAATTTTAGTGAGTAGAGTTTCAGTTTGGGATGATGAAAAATTTCTGGAGATAAATATTTAGTAGCGAAGGTTGCACAACAATGTGAATGTACTTAATGCCGCTGAACTGTACATTTAAAAAATGGTTAAAAGGGAAAATTTTATGTAATGCACATTTTACCATAATTTTTTTTATAAAACGCAGACAATAATAAGTCTTAGTGAAAATGTGTAAAACCTGGAACCCTCATAGACTGCTGGTGAGAATGTAAAATGGTACAGCTGCTTTGAAAAAACGGTTTGGCAATTCTTCAGAAAGTTAAACACAGAGCTACCATGTGATGCAGCCATTCCACTCATGCAGATATAAAGAAAAATTAAAACATACACCCACACAGACATGTATACCAACATTCACAGCAGCACTACTCATAATGGCCAGAGGTGGAAACAACCCAAATACCCATCTACTGATGAGTGGAAAAATAAAATGTGGTATATACAACAGAATATTATTTGACAATAAAAAAATATATATATATAGTATTGATACATGCTACAATTTGGATCAATCTTAAGAGTATTACGTTAAGTGAAAAAAGCCTGTCACAAAAGATCACACTGTAATATTTCATTTATATAACAGGTTCAAAATAGACAAACCTATAAAGACAGAAAGCAGATTAGAGGTTAAGAGGGGAGAGAAACTGAAGGAAAATAGTGACTGCTAATGGGTACAGACTTCCTTGTGGGGTAGGGAGAGTGTTCTGGAATTGACAGCTGATGGCTGCATAAGTGAATTTGCTAAGAGCCCCTGAATTATACACTTTAAATGGGTGAGTCACATGGTATGTCAAGTAGATCTCAATAAAGCTGTTGTAAAAAAAAAAAAACAACTACAAAGCAACTCTCTTAAGTGTGCTTACTAGAAAAACCAATGACAATCAAGGAAATGACTTCATTGTAAATTTTGTAATCAGGAACATACCTTGGTCAAAGGAGGAGCTTTCTGTGGTGAATTCTGAGTCACATCCTCACCGGGACCTAATCCCATGGCAGTGCTGGTTCTTGGAGTAGGACGAGAACTGAAATATACACACCAGTGAGCATTATTCAGACGTTACAAACCTTGTTCTCTGTTTACTATATTCTGAGAAAAATAAAAACACATCTCATGAAAAACAGCAGAATATAGTAATTCTATGTGATCTCATTATATATATATAAAAAAAAAAAAAACACCCAGATGGTATGGCTCAGTGGATTGAGCATCCCATGGACTGAGCGGTCCCAGTTCGATTTCAGGTCAGGGCACACGTTCGATCCCCAGTAGAGAGCGTGCAGGAGGCAACCAATTGATGTTTCTCACAGTGCTGTTTCTATCTCTCTCTAAAAAAAAATCAATAAGAACGTATTTAAAAAAATTTTTTTAACTAATTTTTGTTTACATGACACTATTATTTTTGTAACTGTTTTTTACACATTTTTGACCACTCACGAGTTAACTCGTGTTTTCCTGCCCAAACGCTGCAGAACGGCATGAATTAACTTGGGTTTGCACTTGCATTAGCTATTTCAGTTTTTGAAACTCAGGGTAACATAGGATTATTGTATTTGTGACTCTTTGCCCTGAGGGTCAAAGTTCGCAAAACAGCACATCGTTCTATATTCTTGAAGTAGCTAGGGAATGGATATCTGCTGGTTCAAATGAGTGCAGCTCAGACCCTAACGTGCCCCTTGCCCAAAAACGTGCGGTCCCTGGCGTCTGTCTTAGAGATTTCTATGCAGTACACAATATGTTAAAGTAATTTCCTGGCTACTTAGTGTTTCTTTTGTTTACAGCTTCTGTACTCTATTCAGTATTTTCTGTTTTTACTAGAAACCTTAAAACATTGACTTTATTATTATTTTAAATGTCTGCTGGTGTAAGCAGAATTAACATAAGATAGATCATATATTCTACAAAGGATGAGTAATAGTCACAACTTTATTTCAGAAAATGTACAGTATGAAAAATTATCTTAGAACCTACTAAGTAACAAATTCTATAAAACCTGCATCTACTTTTAATGATTCCTCCCACACTTATCAATACCACCACGCTCTCGCTGGGCCACTCCATTACCACGGGGTCTCTGATTGAGTTTTTCACATTTTAAGAAATTCACTCAGATCACCATGGTCTTCTTTAGTGAATTCCTTCAAATTCCCAAATATCATGATTCTCACCTCTGTTTCACTTCCTTCTCTGTTTATTCATCCATTAAACAAGCACTTATTTAGCTCACAAGATATGCCAGAGAGTACACAAAGTTTTTTAATTAAAAACCAGGACAACAGATGCTGTAAGATTTACTTTCATCTCCCGTCCACAGACCCCTCACTGCTCTCTGTCACTTACGTACCTCAGAAGGAACATAGACTCATTCAGGTGACCCCTCAGAGTATTCTTAGGCCGCAACTCAGTTGGATTTTCTGTGGCAGGAAAGGAGAACATTACCCATAAGGGAACAAAGTCTCACGAGCAGGGCACTTGCAGACAGACCTGAAGCAAGCGTGTACTCAACTGAAAGCCCACCTAGTCTCAAAGAGCGACTTAGCTGCTGGCCAATCCTCTCCCCTTTGGCTTGTCCACTCTGAGGGCTCCTCAAAAGCTCCTTGGCATCTCGTGACCCAGAACACTCCATCACCTTTCCGCTGTTCAACAGGAGAAAGTCAACACAATCAAACTTACTTTTGAGCTCCCTATATCGTTTTCTGTGTAGAACGAGAGTTTGGAAATGATAATGAAACTGCACGTGACATTCGGCAAAGCCATGCAGTTAGTAAGAAATATTTTCCCATGAGTAGAGAAAGTGAGCACTGCTGTGAGCAGGGCAAGGTACGAAGAAGACTACATGCCTTATCCCTGAAAAATAAATGGCAGCCGGCAGACTGGGGGAGTAAGCCAGAACTCGGAGTGCCAGTAAACCAGCAGTGTCTTTCCCTTTATTTTTCCCCTTCCAGCGCTGCCCAGCCTGGGTTCAAAGGCAGTGAGTACAGACAGAGCTCAAGAGAAGCCCTCTATTTCTGTTCCAAGGAGTAAGGAAGGATCCCTTGGGTCACAGCAAGGAAATCCCCTAGGTTTCTTTTTTTTTTCTTTTTCCACTTTGTCCTGCCCTGGCCTCCAGGGAACCCTGCAGCAGCTGGCTGGAAACAGCAGCATCTTCTGGCCAGTGCCTGAAACTCGGAGGGAGGGGCATCCTCTTCTCTAAGCAAAAAGCGATGATCCCAAGAACGTGAGGCAAATCCCTGTGGCTCTACTCTCTTGTTTAACCTCTCTCACTGTCCTCCTGCCACTTGAACACAAACATATCCAGCAAGACAAAAGCTACAATACACAGTGACAGTGGGGTTTATGGTGGGAATGCAAGGCTGGTTCAGTATTTGAAAACCAATATGAAAGAGTCCAGAATGAAAGCCTGAAGAAGAAAAACCACCTGACCATGTCAGCTAATACACAAAGGCATTTGAGGAAATTCAACATTCAAACTGAAAAGGAGCAGCTACGAAAACCTCCAGCTCATTGTTCTTACTGGGGAAAAGTATTTTCATCCTACAATCAGAAACCAGGCAAGAATGTTCACTTTCATTCCTCCCGATTCAGTATATACTGGGGAAAAAAGTCTGAGCAAGGGCAATAAGGCAGGAAAAAGAAATAAAAGGCACAGAGATTGAAAGGAAGATGACAAACTAAGGTCAGAGGTGTTCTGTGACTTGCTGACACGTGGACCAGAGCCCAGTTTTCTGTAGATCCTAATACAATGGTGAGAGCATATCTGAAACTCACTGGATTAGAGAAACTCAAGTTTGAGAAAGACTTTAAGTAGAATTCAGATTTCTCTATCCAATACATGGAATTTGCCAAGATTAAAATTAAGAATCACACAACCATTTATCACTGAATGAATCGGGGGGAAAAGTCAATTATCAGGACTTTACCACTATATTCAGCTACTTCTCACCTGTACTTTTCCAAATACCATCACTTTTGTAAGTGTTTTGGGCTAAGAAAATTTTTATAATAAAGTATATTAGTCAGGATGAGCTAGGTTATGCTGTGGTGACATACAAGCCCTCAAATGCCAGTGGCTCAGAATCATGTAACTTTTCATCTTACTCATGCACAGAGCCATGAAGTCTGGTGGGAAAGCTATGCTCATCATGGTCACTAAAGCCCCAGCCTGGCAGTAACTCCATTTCGACATTTTCTTCCCAATTAACTCACCAGGAAGAGAAGTGTGGCAAATCACACACTGGCTCTTAAAGTTTCTATCCAGAAATAACACATGTCACTTCTGCTCACATTTCATTAGCCAAGCAAGTCACATGACCACACCTACCTGAAAGGGGGAAATGAGATCCTACCATGTGCCTGCCAGGTGAAACCACTTATAGTTGGTAAACAGAACTAATAACTATCAGTGACTGAAGTTTAAACAACTGATCAGAAAATCAGCAAAATCAAAAACACAAAAAATGTCATCACTAGACTCCTTAAACAAATGCTTGATTTTTCTACCATGAAAGTACAGGAAGTCTTGTCATTGACGCTGCATTGTTAGAACAGTCAGAACAGGGTGTGAGTGTTTAATAACCATGCCCCACACACAAAGGTAAGCGTATCCTACCTGACACCGGCATCCTCGGGGCTGGAGTCCTGGTCTTGTCCAGTAAAAGCATCCTTCCAAAAGGAATGCTGCAGGAGGCCTGCCCAAGTGAGCCTTTGTGAAACACAAATGTCAATATTCTATGTCAACATGACTGACCATGGGAATCCCCAGGACATGTCCCAGTTATCTGAATCATATTTATACTTTATAAATGTCTCCATATAAATGTATCTCTTTCATTTTAGTACACAATTAACCTCTCTTAAACGGCAACAAATAATTCAGAAATACCCCAGAAGTCGTAAATGGTACAGAATGAAAGAACCGGACGACAAAGCATTAGAAATCATAGGCTTCATATTCCACAGAGCCTGATTAAAACATTTTGGTTCTCAAAACAGTCAACGAGAAAATCTATAACTATTTAAAATTTTAAAGTAAATAGATCACATATTATCAACCTATAATTCTGTCATCTTTCATGCCCCAAGAGAGGCTAGATTATTCTAGGTACCCTACCTGTTTTACACATTTCATATTTGAACTTTACACTTAGAACTTCATTCAGAAATAAACAAGAATATCAGCTTCATGACTATATACAGTCACACCTCTGTTTAGGTGTCAAAATATTATCTAGCTAGTTCATCACATTAAAATGACTTCCAGCTCTATCTAAAACCCACACTCTCTTTCAAAGCATTAAGTTTTACTACTAATACATTATTATATCTCTGGGTATACTCATCACACTCAGAAAGGTCAAGTGTGACTAAAATTTAAAAACAAAAAAAGAAAATTTATATTTGATTAATTTAACCATTCAAAATTTCCATATTGAAGTGAAAACTACTTTGATAAAAATTAAAACACTAATGATACAGAGAAAGAGTTTACAACCATACATACAAGGGCTCTTAAAATATACTAATGGAGAAATAAAACTGCCAATAAAATGGTATTTTCTTTTCATCCATCAGATTGGAAAAAATATACAAGATCAACCAAGCCCACAGTAGATAACAGTGGTGGGAAAAGAGCTTCCTAACGTTGCTGGAAGTGCAAACCATTTAGCACATGTTCCCAGAACGCGGCAAATAGGTCACATTTTTAATGCTCTTAGCCTTTGGCCAGCAACCCCACTTTGGGAAATGTATCCAAAAGAGATAACTGTCCAAGTGAATAACGAAAACACTCAAAAGGCTCTGTACTGTAGCAGTGTGCATTTTATTCTAAATTGAGACCATTTTTACTGCTATTACAGGTTATCAGTAATTACATGCTGCAGCCATTCAAAAAGACTAAGCAGACAGGGAGAAGAAAGTAGGCTATGGGGTGGTCCCATTTATGCAAAAAAGCATATAATACAAAGATATAAACAGGTGGAAAAGTAGATATATCATCCTCAATAAAGTATATTTACAGCCTATCAAAGATGTCTGGAAAATTAGCCACCAAAATAACACTAACCCTAAAAGCATTTATTCTATGACAAGCATAGGAGGTTTGCCCTACAGCTTATACAAGAACCAGAATTTCCTTCCGTAAGTTCTCTTATATTTAAAGAAGATAGAGAATGGATTATTTTATATGCTATACTATGTTCCTCATTTTACACCCTAAAGCAGAAACCCAAATACTTGCTAACACCCCCACCCCTAACTCCACTTCCCCCAGTTACCTAGTGGCAGAACCAGAACTATAAACCAACTGCTCTGGACTCCCAGGCCAGGAGGAACCCCGTCCCCCCCGCCCCCCCATCCCCTGCAAATCTCCTCCCCTTCCCCACACCACAACACAGAAAATTCACGCTGTGCCTATTATCACTTGATATCTCCATTATGACAAGAGTATAACAAAAATATATCACGTGAAAACAACACTCAGTGTTATTACATTAACCATTTTTGACAGTATCATCCCTAGTTCAATAGTCTAAGACAGTTTTAGCCTGTAATCTATAATGGAAAGAACTACAGTGCTGAGATTCAGGAGTTAAGGAAAATTCATCAAGCTTATAGGCAACTAATGAATACATTAAAAGAAAAAAATGAGCCCTGGCTGGTTTGGCTCAGTGGTTAGAGCGTCGATCTTCAGACCAGAGAGTCCCGGGTTCGGTTCCCATTAAGGACATGTACCTCGGTTGCATTTGTCCCTGCCCCAGCTGGGGTCATGTGGGTGGCAACCACTGCACAACAATGTTTCTCTCTCTCTCTCTTCCCTCCTCACTTCCTCCCACTCTATCTGAAGATAGATGCAAAAATGTCCTCAGGTGAAGAGAGAAAGAAAAAATACTTAAAATTCCTCATGATTAAAAACACTTGCAAATAGAAAACACTCAATGTAAACCCAGATTTCCTTTTAAAAAAAGTAAATCGAGCACCTCGTTGTATATTAAGGACAGTACTATTTCAGAAGTACATGAAAGAAAAAGATCCCACTATGTGTTCATATTAAAATATCATCTATACAGACCTTTTCTGAGGATCCTTTTGAAGTAAACCATCCAGCAAATTCACAAAATCTGAAGAAGCCTTAGGAAGAGAAGAATCTGCACACAAATTCATTCCCAAAAAGGAAAAATAGCGATAAGGAGATGAATATGTCCCCTACATCAACATTTAAAGTCACAGTTATTTTAAGTACATAAATTATTTTAAAGAGAACACTGACTCTATTAATAATAATTAAGCTTCCATTTAAATAAGGGGGAGAGAGGCTAAAAAATTTTTTAAACATTTTTTCCAAGACTACGAAAAGCTAAATTTAGACTAACCTCTAAAATTACTGAATAATCCCAGTAAGGAGTATCAGCCTGACAAACTCATACCCTTGTCTTCAACTATTAATTATACCTCATTTTCTCAGGCATTATTAACTTCACCAATTTTACTTTATAGTATACTGGGATGAGAATACTTGCACTACCTCTTTTCTTTATAGCAGGAAAATAATAAGCAACATATTATGACATTGTCCAATTTTCTTAATCTCCAAATTTTGCCTTTTTAAATTAAACAGATATATACCATGGTCAAATTATCAGAAACTTTTTTTTTTTAAAGTAGCCATAATACCCTGGCCGGTTTTGCTCAGTGGTTAGAGCATCAGCCCGCGCACCAGGGAGTCCTGGGTTCGGTTCCTGCTAAGGGCACGTACCTGGAATGCGGTTTGTCCCCACCCCCGGTTGGGGTCATGTGGGTGGTAACCAGTTGATGTGTCTCTCTCACATCGATGTTTCTCTCCCTCTCTCTCTACCTCCCTCTTTCCCTCCTGCTCTATCTGAAGATAAATGCAAAAATGTCCTCAGGTGAGGATAAAAAAAAAGTGCGCCTGTTGTCAGTGTAAAGTGTAAATGAACTGCATTTATAATAAAAATCCTACCTTTTGGAATAGGTGGCAGAGGATCTTTATAAACAATCTTTTCAAGTAATTCTGAAACATTTTCTGAGAAGAATGGAGGTTTTCCTGAAATTACATGAAAACTTGTCAATTAAACAAGTTTGGCATCACAATTTACAAATGTAACTATAGCAATTACTAATTATTGAATGTCTAGTATATACCAGGCACACTGTCTAGTATTTTTATTTTTATAGTTCAAAATCTGTCATCCTAACCAATATACAAATTCACAAATGGACCACTACTTTGATGCAAGGTTTGCATGGGCTACTGGACACGTGTGAATCATTCAGTCACAGGTACCTTTACAAGAATTTCTACTAATAAGTGCAGCTTTTTAATAGTTAGGCACATTTCAGCATTCCAGATGATTATCATAAAAAATACCTACATGTCAAAAAGGTCCTAGGAATCTGCATACACCCAGACACCAAGCAATCCTGCCACAGTATAGTTAAAAATGTAGAAAAACCAGCTTTTTCACATCTCATAGGTTAAATGTTTGCAAACTACAGATTTAACCTTTGTGTCTGTCCAGCTCTGACTTTAAAATGAACCAGAAAGCTGTCACCTGAAAACATTTCGTAGAGCAGACAGCCCAGAGACCAGAGGTCGCTGGCAACGGAGAAGTCGGCCCCCTTCATGATTTCCGGTGCTGTGTATGTAAGCGATCCTAAAGAGAAGTACAAAGAACGACTTTGTCAGGCACGTGTACTGAGTATTGTTCCACACAAACCCGCGTGGGAGAGCCCTGAGGAGGTAAAACCATGGAAGGAGAGTATACACGTGAATAGAACTTCACGTGCATTTCACAGTTTTTCAATGTTTTCTCATTTTAAGGTTCCGTTGTACAAGGATATGTAAAAATATAAAACGATTTCAAAACTCCAGCTAAATCAGAGGTGTGGCACATGTAGGTATATTTATTTTTTTTAAATTAACAACTTAAATAGTCAAGAAAAGAACCTTTGGCGATGATCTCTTGAATAAGACGTGTTCGGTTAGGCAGTAAGCCCCTGGCTTACCAGCAAAGGCCTACTTATCGAACTCCAGGGCAGCACAGGGCAGCCGAGGGGCTCTGATGCTCAGACACTCAGAGACCCAGGTTGACAGAGGCCCCGTCCCACAGACGTTTCCTCAGTCATCAAGGCCGGGACAGCACACAGCACTGCACACTGGCTCTGCAAAGTGCCCCCCACAGTGACTCACCCCTTCCTCTCCCACGGCCTTCGCCTTGGCCACAACGCAAGCGCAGTCCCACTGTGTAGCCAGGAGAACAGAACAGCCAGTGACCACCACTAACGTGCACCCCGTATACTTTATACAACCTTTACTATGACATGGCAACTCCAAATCCTAGACCTAGGAAGTTCCCTTATTTACTGATAAGGGAAACTGAGTCACAAGCTGGGCAGGTTCAGAGCACCGGCCACAGCCAGGGTCCTCATCTCTCCCTGGGGCATAGTCTTCCCGCTCCACTCGAAAGCCTCTGATCTTCTTTGGGATGAATAACTCGGAAAACAAAACTCTGAGCCAACTGTATCTCCAGGGCCCCTGACAGCCACATCAGCAGCGTCAAGGTCTCCAAGGTGACACTGCTATCACATTTCACAGCCACACTCACTGATTCAACAAACACTAGCAGAGGCCTATGTCTGCACATTGCAGATGCTGAGGAAACACGGGCGATAACACCCTAGGATGCCCAGGCACCCTGACCAACACTTAACAGGCACTTAATGTAGTATGTGTTGAATGTGAGTGTCTGTCTTCTCCAACTAGAAATGTAAGTTCAGTGAGGTCAGGGATGCTTCTTTAATTTTTTTTCTTTTTTTTAAATTTTATTTTCATCAGACAGAGTGGAAGGAAGGGAGGGAGTGAGAGAAAGAGAGAAACATCAGTGTGAGAGAGACACACCGACTGGTTACCTCCCACATGACCTGACCAGGGCCAGGGACAAACTGCAACCAAGGTAAGTATGTGCCCTTGACCGGAATCAAACCCACGACTCATTGGTCCATGGGCCGACGCTCTAACCACTGAGAAAACCAACCAGGGCATAATTAAATGTATTAGGGTGACATTGGTGAATAAGATTATATAAGTTTCAAGTGTGCGAGTCTATGAAACCTCATCTGTATACTGACTGCATTGTGTGCTTACCACTCAAAGTCAAGCCTGAGGTCAGATTTCTGCCTGTTTGTTCAAATCCATATAGTCCCAGTATCTAAAACATGCCTAAATGTTTGTTGAAAGAATAAGTATTGAATTAACTGAGTGTCACTGCTAGAAACTCTGACTTATTTCTCCACAATACATCCCTCTTCCCCTTACTAAAGGGGAATATTTCAAATATGCATTTCTGAAATATATCACCTTCTTTGTTTTCTATAAGAAAATCAGAAATAATCATTTAAAACTCAACACTCTACTAACATAGTCCGCAATATTCATCTTCACAGAATGCCAGTCATCCTATGGAATGATATTTGGGGATCTTAAAAGCCTTCTTCTTGGGCCTGAAATTTTATCACATACAAGACGGGCTCTGAAAGTGAAATTTCCTTTGGTTATATTTATGGGGCCTACATTGAATGCTGCTCCCCATCCCTTTCCCTCATCCCTCCCATCCTAGGCCATGTAACTATCAAGCCATATAAGGATGCCACCCTCTCTCACAGGGCCCTTCCCTTCCTGGTGAGTATACCAGAGCTTCAGTGGCCCAAAGTGCCAGGTACCTGCACAGGGACCTTGAGGAGGTAAGCTCTTTACTACTTCTCTCAAAAGTTCTGGTATAAGAAATAGCACTTCACACTCTCTCCTCAAGTACAGCTAACACCCCAGGCCCCAGCTCACTGTCAAAACCACCTCTCAAGAGTGCACCCCTAAAAATCTTCCTTAATTGCATGTATCAGCCACTCAACAATGTTGAACAAATAACTACTGAGCCACGAGCATGTGCCAGGCACTGTTCTAAGTGCTGACAATATGGCGAGAAGGGAGACCCCTGCTTATGTTCAAATGTGTGGTCGGTACCATAGAAAGCTAAGGATGAGATGCAGGCTGCCAGGGGCTCCCCATGCCCTCCACAGTATTAGAGCCACATGGAAAACTTTAGGCCGTTGGCAAAGCGATCCCCATATCCAGACTTCTCCTGGTCATTATTATTTTCCATACGTTATCTGTCTAGCAAAATAAAAGGTCAACATTACCCCCCAATATGATTTAGGCAGCCCACAACTAGTTAGGATCTTAAAACTCCCCACATACCTTTGACTCTACTTTTCATGTTTTTCTTCAGTATGTTTTCCCCACTCTCCCCTCCTTCTTCTTCGGTTGCCATCAAAGTAAAGAACTCTTCCAAGTTTTCACCTTCCACTTTTGCCAGGCAGAAATTACTAAACTTCAATGTGCCGGGCCCTTCCAAGAGTATCTATACAGATTACAAAATACATGTTCAAAACCCAGTTCAATTTACACTTCCCTCAGCACCTCTTATAAACTCTGAGGTTCGCTGAGCACTGGCTTTCTAGCTTCATCACAACTCAGAAAATTAGATCCTTATTGATATATTTTTAAAGCTAAAGAAAATAAACCCAACATTTTAATAATAGAATCAAACATTAAATTATCCATTCTCAAATGTATATAACGAATATGTCATATAACCACAGAGGAAAACCTCAGCTTTTAAGAACAATGGATATGGAACAAACTATACTCTCTATTCTCAGTGACAGCTGAAGAAGGATTTGAAAACCTACCTGCCAGAGGTGTTATTTATATATTGTATGGTTAAGATAAGGTTTGGAAGTCAGAGATCTAAATTTGAGCTGTAGGCCCACCACAACCAGGCCATCTGACCTGAAGAATTTACTTAACCTTTCTAAATCTCACTCTCTTCACCTATAAAATAAAAAAATTACACTGACCTCTGCAGCTGTGGTAAGGAATAGCTGAGGTCATACATGCAAAGGGCTTTGAATAGTGACTGGCATGAGCTAAATACTCGAGTCTGCTAACATAATTTGTGATAAGTTATCCGTTGATTGTTTAAACCATGCCAGGAAGCAGTGTTCTATTACTTCTCATTTTTTACTCTAGAATCATTAAAAATATTAATGGGAAGTTGCAATGAGTCAGCAGGATTTTTGTTTTTAAAAGCAATTTAAAGTTTGCCCTTGACTTCTAATCACAAACACTAAGGATGTCTGTTAAAAGTCTAGTGATGTTTTTGTTGTATTTTTCATTAATCCTCACCCAAGGCTATTCTTCTGTTGATTTTTAGATAGAGTGAAAGAGAGGGAGTGGGGAAGAGGACGGGGGCATCAATGTGAGAAAGATATATGGATTGGATGCCTCCTCCATGACCCCGATCAGGGCCAGGGATCAAACCTGCAACCCAGGTACATGCCCTTTCTGGGAATCTAACCCGTGACCCTTCAGTCCATGACCTACACTCTAACCACTGAGCCAAACTGGCCAGGGACAAGTCAACAGTGACTTATACATGTTTTTGAGCACCAGAATCCCCTAGAAAACTTAAGAAAAACTACTAGTCCTGCCTTGGCCGGTGTAGCTCAGTTGCTTGAGCATTGTCCATGCACCAAGGTTGCAGGTTCGAAACCCAGTCAGGATACATGCCCGGATTGTGGGCTCAATCCCTGGCAGGGGATGTACAGGAGGCAGCCAACTGATGTTATGCTCACATCCATGTTTCTCTCCCTCTCTCAATCCCTTACTTTCTCTCTAAAAATCAATAAAAAAAAATTTTAATTAAAAACAAACCCTGACCAGTTTGGCACAGCCATTAGAGTGTCGGACTGAGGACCGCAGGGTCGAGGGTTCAATTCTGGTCAGGGGCACGTACCTGGGTTACAGGTTCAATCCCCAGCCCTGATCAAGGTAGTTCAGGAGGCAACCAATTGATGTTTCTCTTGCTCTCTCCCTCCTACTCTCTCTAAAAATCAATGGAAAAATATCCTCGGGTGAGAATTAACCAAAACCAAAACAAAAAACCTACTGGTCCCTACCTCAGCATTTCTGATTCAACAGGTCTGGGGTGGGTCCAAGAACCTGCATGTCCAATGAGTCCCATTAAAGCTTCTGGTCCAGGGAACATACTTTGAGAACCAGTGAGAGGGGTCAGCAAATTTTTTTTAAGTTAGTAAACCTTTCAAACTTTGCAAGCCATAAGGTCTTTGTCCCGATCACTCAACTCTGCAGCCACCAGCAATACATAAATAAAAGAGTGTGGCTGTGTTCCCATTAAACTTCATTTACATAAACAGACATCCTGCCCGAACTCCCCTAACCCCTGTTCTAGAATAAGTTGCATTACAAATCAGCCTGCGTTTCCTAGATTATAAACACCTCATTAAACAACTCCCACACAGGGGTTGGCACCCCCAGCCTCTGAGCCGAATCCCAGCCAGTCTCTGTTTCTGTACAGGCATGAGCTAAGAGTGGTTTTTACGTTTCTAAATGATTGAAAAGAACTGCAGTAAGATATTTATTGACATGTGGAAATTATATAAAATTCATATTTCAACATCCATGAATAAAGTTTTATTGAAACAACCACGCTGTGCATTTACATACTGCCTCTGGCTGCTTTCAGGCCTATAACCACAACTAAGCAGCTGTAGACTTAAGTAAGTGCATGACTATTTCAAACAAGAACTTTTAGTCATTATGAGGAGTTTTTATAGAGTTGTTTTAGGTTTAATTATGTTCTTATAATAATGTTTAACAAGGAAACAGTCAAGTTTTCATTTCATTGTGTACACATTAACAAAGGAAAAGTAGCAACTCAGGCCTGGCCAGTTTGGCTCAGCAATTAGAGCGTCAGCCCAAGGAACGAAGGGTCTGGGTTTGATTCCTGTTCAAGGGCACGTACCTGGGTTGCAGGTTTAATCCCTGGCCCCAGTCAGGGCCAAGCAGGAGGCAACCAATCAATGTGTCTCTCTCACACTGATGTTTCTCTCTCTCTCTGTCCCTCCCCCTTTCCCTCCCTTCCACTCTATCTAAAAAAAAAAAAAAAAAAAATCAATGGAAAAATATCCTCAGGTGAGGATAAAAAAAAAAAAGTAGCAACTCAGACCAGTAATAAATACAATTCCTAAGAGTAAGTACTTGAAAAGATAAAAATTGATGCTACTGAGAGCACACTATGTACACCAGAAAGTGTCCTACAAGCTTCTCCTAAATATCCTATGCAATCCTTACACTCACCCAGGGATCCCTATCTCCATATCAGAGACACGAAAGGAAGGCAGAGAGACAGAACGGGTACTTGTCCAGGGAACACAGCTCCTAAATGTCAGTGTCAGCTGTGACTAAGAAACTAAGCAGGTTTCACAACAACTACACTGAACACTTTTATTGTTGGATCATTACTTTAACCAAAAAAGAAAATAATTGATCTATAACGTCAGGAATCATATATATATAGCCAAAAATGCTATTATCAAACTCAAATAGTGGCTCATAATTGTGTCCTATAAGAATAAAGGGTCTCATGTTGTAGAGCTGTTGACCTCATCATTCGCCATACACTTCACCAGCAATAAGAATTACTCTAGAGCACCGAAATGAGGGGAAACTGCATTCCAGAAGGACTTCAATAGGTAGCTAAAGTGTAGTTCCTTTTTATTTAAAAAAATGTTAACTTAAAATTTCAAGATGTTCTATACCTAAAATAGACCTTTGAGAAAGCATTGTAAATTAAGACACAAGCAGTTAGGAATTACCTTCCCAGGAGAAATGTCACAAAAGAGAATGCCAAGTTGATGAAGATGATGTAATCCAGTAATCAGGTCAATCCCAAATTCTCTCACAACATCTTCTGGGAGGTTTTCATCTTGAGCTATAACCATTTCTAAGGAACCACCTGCAAGTTGATTAAAATCACGCATTTGAACCTCTCAGCATTACACAGGGGCTCTAAGCAGGTTCCCTGCTGGGAGATACTGAACATGAAAAAATGATCAAATCAGTGCCCCTGGTCAGCCTAGCAGGGGAAACACACCTCAAATGAGCACAGTGGACAAGCGCCCTCTCAGAACCCTGTGTCCACACTTAGGGGCCAGCCAGGGTGACCAGCTGCTCAATTTGGAGGACTGGTAAGTAAATGGGTGGGATGAAGGAAGAATCACTCTGGTGCTGTGACAGCTCCCTCAGGATATGAACAGCTGCAAAATTCTGTGGGAAATGCTAACCTAGACAGTGCATTTAAATCACATTACGCAAAGTATAGTCACATTTACTCCAGTGCAGTTAGGTCACATGTTGCAAAGTACTGCCTAGCAAAAAAGACGGTGCCTTTCCTTATCTGTTAGAAAATTACACCCTTAGTGCACATCACTGATGAATTAAATAATGGGCCAAAGGCAGACAAGGGTGGAATTCTATTTCTATACCCTTCCAAGGTTCCAGTCACATCTCTACCATCTAAGTACCAGAAACAAACTTTTTTTTTAGGGTCAAGATTAAAACAAGAGCCTAACTGGTGTGGCTTGGTGGATTGAGCATTGGCCCACGCACCAAGAGGTCACCGGTTCCATTCCTGGTCAGGGCACATGCCCAGATTACAGGATCGACCCCCAGTAGGGGGCGTACAGGAGGCAGACAATTTATGTTTCTATCTCTCCCTTTCCCTCTCTCTAAAAAAATCCATTAAAATCATTAAAAAAAAAAAAAAAAAAAAAGATTAAGACAAGAGCCAGGTTCAGAGGAAGTGAAATTTTAGCCAGTATCTGAAAGTTCAATCAGAATTACTATGACAAAGGAGGGAGGTATTTTGAGTTTATTTTATCTTGTTGGGTGAAAAACCACTGCAAACACAGCATAAATTATAAGTTGGGTTGTTACACTGGTCAGGGGTCAGAAACAGCAGCTGAAGCAAAGAAGTAATATAGAGAAAGGCCCCTGATGACCTCAAAAGTGTGTACTTCTATGCAAGTCACTAGACCATAGTACCCTACTAATTCAGAAAATGAAATGAAAAAATTATTCTATGATTCAGTTTTCTAAATTCTAAGTGCCAATAGGTAAGACTCATAAAGCTAGAAATAATTACAGTGTACCTTAATATTTAGTGATTCTCTATTTTACTCAATGTATAAACAGAAATATACTAACCATGGTACTTGTTACATTTATTCCCTAAAGACACTGAAACTAAAAGCTCAGATAATTACTACACAATTAGTCACCTTTCTCCCTGTGTAGTCCTAGAACTATGTCAAGCAAGAGCTATTACATGTTATCTCTAATTATTCCTAGGTGGTGGTGTTTGTTGATTCATCTTTGTACTTTTCCACACAGCTTAAGTTTTTTTAAAGAGCAAGTATTCTGTTTATAAAAAAAACACTTTATAAAGTAATAAGCTAATTAACAGCTAGTTAATCTAAAATACTATATTTTTATTAAATGGAAAAATTGTTTGGTAAATTAATAATCTCTAAAAAATATTTCTAAATTTTCCATGTAAGTGGTTTGGTATTTATACCAAAGTAAAGTTTACCCCAAATTGAATTTTACATAAATTTTCCTCTTATCAAACATCTTAGCTCTTTACCCTTCCCTAATATCCATCGAACAATAGATTTTCAAGTTAACATAGGCAACAGTGTCAACACATATTTGCAAAAGAAGAAGAAAATAACAAAACCTATATCCTATGTTTTTACAAAACCACATAATGTGGCTTACCTGTACAGAGTTCCACTACTAGCCAGAGATGATTGCTGGTTTCATACCACTCATGAAAGGTTACAATATTCTGGTGTTTAATTTCATGGGTGAGACGGACCTACAGAAACACACAACATTCACACTAAAAAAAAAAAGTTCTTAAAACACTTGCATCTATTAAAAAACACTTAAATACACAATTGGAAAATGGATAAGAAAATACTGGGTTTCACTTTGTGCAATTCTTTATGGACATCAAAATGATAGTTATGAACACTGGTCTCATGGAAAAATGCCAATTTAGCATACAATCTTAAAAATTACTTTTTTAAAACTAGTACAATATAGTTTTATGTATTTGGGTAAATATAATATTATAAAAGATATATTATTCATAGGAAAATAGCCAAAAGGTATACACCAAAAAAGTTATTGTAATGAGCAAAATCACTGATTTTTTAAAAATTCTTTCTACTTCTCTTTTTCTATTTGCTATATTAACTACACACTGCCTTCATAATAAATAATATATAAAAAAGAAATAATTTTAAAGGAAAAAAAAACTTCTACTAAGTAAAAACAACCTAAATGTTCAATATTATAATACTAGTTAAGTAAGTTGTATACCAACTTATAAAATAGTAGGCCAACATTAAAATGTTTATTTAATTTTATAGCAACATGGAAAAATGACAGTTACAATAGTTACAATATTAAGTGAAAAAAGTAAAAAACAAAATTATATATCATACTAAGAAAATTATTTTTAAAATTCATAGGAGGGAAGATTAGAAGAAACAAACCAAAAGAGAACAGTGATTGTCTTCAGGTAATGATAGAAGAACGCTGCTTTTTTCTTTCATTCATTTTTCTATATTGCCCACGTTGATATAGTACTTTTATAATACTTAAAAGTACTCTTGCCCTGGTCGGTTTGGCTCAGCGGTTAGAGTGTCGGCCCACAGACCAAGGAGACTCAGGTTTGAGTCCGGTCAAGGGCACGTACCTCAAGGGTTCGTCCCCGACCCTGGTCAGGTCCTGAGGGAAGCAACCAGTCAATGTGTCCCTCTCACATCAATGTTTCTCTCTTTCTCTCTCTCCCCCCCTTCCTTCCTCCCTCCCTCCCTCCCACTCTATCTGATGATAAATGTAAAAATATCCTCTGCTGAGGATTACAAAAAAAAGTACTCTCAAACGATTCTACAATTTTCTTTTTAGAAACATTCTTAGTGAATCCTAATATCATCAATTCACTCAGATTACTAAAAGAGGAAGAATTAAAATGAACACACTGGATCTTAAAATGTACATTTCCATTAGATCATAAGAATAATTGTATACCAAAAGCAAGAGTGAATTAAAAACTCCAACAATTAAGACGCAAAAGCCTGTCATTAAGAAACACTAAGTTGCTTTAGGGATTTTTGCTCTCTCCCTTTAAAATCCCATTAAATATGGGAAAACCACACATGTGTGATAAACCACTGAGACCCAGAATTGCTGATGATTACCAAAATGCTCTGAATCCTTGTTTTCCAATTCTCTTTAAAAAAAAAAATTCACATACAAATTCTACTGTCATTCAACACAAATTAATGGGCCCATAATTTGTAGCAATACAGAGCTATTTTTAAAATGGAATAGAGTACACCAGGGAAACAATTAGGTGGGTTCATATCTGCAATAACAATAAAAGGAAATGAATCCACATAACTTATAAAACAGATGAAGAGAAAACCAAAAATAAAGGTGATCAGGAGAGAATTTGAGGAGCACCATGTAAGAAAGCCCCAATAATAAGGCCTTTCCAGAATGGGGAGGATACCTGGTGAGCAGGTCTAAACAGATACCCACTGATCAGGCAGGTGAAGGGGGAGATCCTGGTGAAAAAATAAAGGAGGCTTGGAAATTCCAAGAGAAATTCCAGTCACAGGACACCATCCCAACACCCCATCACTTAATATATCACTTTTCAGATGCTGGACCCCTCAGCGCCCTCAATCTTGCCCTGGACCCCCACCTTAACCACCTGTCTGGGACCTGCACTGCCCAAGAAAGGGTCACTCACCACCAAGGACCGCTGTGCAATCAAGAAGTGACTAATCTGCACAGAGGTGAGCTCCAAGTGTAAAATACACACCAGATGCTGAACACTTCATATCGAAAAGGGAACACTTCATTCGTAACTTTGATATTGATTGACTGTTGAAATAACACAGTGTATATATTGGATTAAATAAAATATATTAATAAAGTTAATTTCACCTATTTATTTTTCCTTTCTCAATGTGGCTGCCATGAACTTTAGATTTTTAGCCTCCATTATATATTTCTACTGGACAACATTGCTAGATTTTTACTAACTGTGTTATCTCTTTACATCCCAGTCTACAACCACCACTCACTCACTCCCCAGCTCATTCACTCTGATACCCAGTTCTGGATAAATTCAACCGTCCAGACACGGTACACACCCTGACAGCAGACACAGCCGTGTGGACTGAGCCACCTGCAGCTCATGATCCCTAATCTCAAATGGCTCCAGCCAGTCAGTCCTCCAAGTACCCATTCACACCTCTTCCCTGAACACTGCCTATTCATCCCCGCACCTCCTAGCAGGTGACTCCGTTTCTTATGCCAGAGAAAACCTCATCAGAAGAGAAATCTTGTGTTCTCACTGAGCATCAAATCTACCAACTAACCTGCATCTTGTCCCATATACCATCTTCCCTCAACTGTCCATACTCCTTTTAAAAGCCAGCATCTCCTCACACCCATTAGAATGCCTATTTTCAAAAAAAAACGAAAGTGAAAAATAACAAGTAGTGGCAAGGATGTAGAGAAACAGGATCGCTTATTCACTGTCGGTGGGAATGTAAAATGATACAGCCTCTGTGGAAAAGAATATGATGGTTCCTCAAGCACTTAAACACAGAACTACCAAAGGGTCCAGCAATTCCCCTTCTGAGCATATACACAAAAGACTGAAGGCAGAGTCTTGAAAAATTTCTACACCCATGTTCATAGAGGCATTGTTCACAATAGATAACATGTGGAAGCAACCCAAATATCCATAGACAGGTGAATGGCAAACTGTACTATATACATACAATGGAATATTATTCAGCCTTGACAAAAAAATAAATTCTGACACATGCTACAATATGGATGAACCTTGAGAACATTATGCTAATTGAAATAAGTTAGTTGCAAAAACACAAATGTTGTATGATCCCATTTACATGAGGCACTTTCAGAGACAGAAAGTACCATGGTGGTTTCAAGGAGCTAGGGGAAGGGAAAATGGGGAATTATTATAATTTTGTTGTTGTTAATCCTTACCCGAGTGAGAGAGACACATCAATTGGTTGCCTCCCGCACACACCCAGACCAGGCAGGGGATGGAATCTGCAACCCAGGTAACGTGCCCATTACTGGGAATTGAACCCACGACCCTTCTGTGAGCAGGCTAATGTTCTAACCACTAGCCAGGGCTGGGGAATTGTTTTTTAATGTGCATAGTTTTCAGTTTAGCAAGATGAAAAGAGTTCTGGCCAGTTCAGCAACCACATCTTGGTATTTACCCAATGGGGCTCAAAACTTAGACACTTAATTAAGGCAGCCTTATTCAAAACTGAAAGCAATCAAGATGCCCTTCAATAGGCAAACAAATAAGCACACTGGTATATATACACACAAAGGAATATTGCTCAGTGATAAAAAGAAATGAGCTACAAAACCACAAATAGCAACATGCATTTAAGGTTCCTCTGTGTCTAAATAAAAGAAGCCAATTTGAAAAGGCTACATGCTGTAGGATTACAACTATATGACATTCTGGGAAAAGGTAAAACTATGGAGACAATAAAAAGATCTGTGGGCCCAGCTGGTGTGGCTCAGTGGTTGAACATCGATCCATGCACCAAGAGGTCGCCAGTTCAATTCCCAGTCAGGGCACATGCCCAGGTTGTGGGCCCGATCCCCAGTGAAGGGCATGCAGGAGGCGGCCAATCGATGTTCTCTCTCATCAATGTTTCTCTCTCTCTCTCAAATCAATAAAGAAAAATTATTTAAAAAAAAAAAAAGACCTGTGGGTGCCAGATGTTGGGAGGAAGGGGGAGGAATTAATAGATGGTGCCCAAAGGATTCTTAGGACAATGAAACTCTTCTGTATGATACTATAATGATAGCTACATGTCATTACACATTTGTCCAAACCCATGAAGTGTACAACACCAAGAGTGAACCCTAATGTAAACTATGGATTTGGGGTGATTATGAAGTTTCAATGTAGGTTTCATCAACTCTAACAATGTACCACTACTGTAGGGATCTTGATAATGGGGGAGCTATGATTGTGTGGGGGCAGAGGGTATACAGGAATTCTCTATACCTTTCTCTTCATTTTGCTTTGAACCTAAAACTTCCTCTAAAAAATTTTAAATTAAAAAAAGAAAAAGTTCTGGATTGTGGCAATGGTGATGGTTGCACAGCAGTATGCATGCACTTAATATCACTGACCTGTACACTTACCAATGGTTAATATGGTAAATTTTGTGTTATGTGTATTTTTTTTTAATCCTCACCCGAGGACAATTTTTGCATTTATTTTCAGATAGAGAAGGAGGGAGAGAGGAAGAGAGAGAAACATCAATGTGAGAGAGACATATCAAGTGGTTGCCACCCACACGGCCCCTACTGGAGCCAGGGACAAACTGCAACAGAGGTACAGTCGTCCCTCACCATTTCGCACTTGGACTTTCGCGGCTTCACTCTGTAGCAGTTTTTTTTGTTTTTTGTTTTGTTTTTTTTAATCCTCACCTGAGGACATTTTTCCTTTTTTTTTTCCAGACAGAGTGGGAGGGGGGGAGAGAGAGAGAGAGAGAGAGAGAGAGAGAGAGAGAGAGACATCAACGTGAAAGGGACACATCGAGTGGTTGCCACCCACACGGCCCAGCCAGGGCCAGGGACAAATTGCAACCGAGGTACGTGCCCTTAGCGGGAACCGAACCTGGAACTCTTCAGTCCACAGTCTGACGCTCTAACTGCTGAGCCAAACCGGCCAGGTCTGTTATGTGTATTTTACCACAATAAACAAAAACGCTGAGATAAAGAAGTTAGGTTTGGTCCACGGGGCCTGGGCTGTAAAGTGGCACAGCTATTTCAAACCTAAATCACCCTCATCCAAAACCCTTCCTTTGGAAAGCTTCATAATCATATACTAATTTTAAAAGTAAATGAACTAACATAGACTATATTTTCCCTGACTCTTACCAAAACAAATAAGACTCTAAGTTGTTAGTGACTTGGGTGTATTTATCAGTCATTATTCAGGATTGGCGGTACTACACAGGTTACCCATTCGGACTGAAAATGTGGCACTTGCTATAGTTAGTTCAATGGCTTCTGTTTACACACCACTTATTCTACCCAATCATAGCTCTGTCTTTTTCCAGAGTGAGGGAAACATACTTGACTTACCCAGTTGGTTATTTCAGGCCTTTTGCACTTATCAGTGCAAAGAATAGCTACAAAATTGATCGTTCCCTTCCGTCGGCCTTTATAGACAATGGTCTTGCTTCCTCTGCCAATCTCCTCATACAGAATGAAGTTTTCCATCTCCGGGCCAGCTGCTCACGCTCAATAAAATTATAACCTAATAGCATCTCGAGCTCCTAAAATGAAAACAAAAATGACACACATAAATGCAAGCCAGTTTGCATGATTAGCTTAGGATAGTTAATATGTAAATATATCTAATAATTCTATAAATTCATAAGATTCACCTACAAGTAAGTGTTAGACACCAGTGTCTTTCTTTTTGTAGGATGAAAAAAAAATATGGGAGAAATAAATAAAAGAAACAATTCACAAACCAATATTCAACTTCCTAAAGATCTCAACAAAAATAATGAAAATGACAGCTGTTTCCAACATATGTAACAAAATCAGGAAATGAATGCAATTTCAGCCAATGCATCTTGATACCTTTGTTACAGTGGAAAGTATATTGTGTCAACATCAGTATAATCAATGGGGCAGTGTATGTCCCACAAAACCTCACATTATGAAACAATGAAATGAAATAATATATGTAAAAATTTTTTTAATGTTTTGATTTACATTTTTAAATGTTTTTATTGACTTTTTTTGTTTGTTTTAGAGAGAGAGAGAAAAATTGATGTGAGAGAGATACATCCATCGGCTGCCTCCTTGCACACCCCTCAGTGGGGATCGAGCCTGCAACCCAGGCATGTACCCTAACCGGGAATCAAACCTGGACCTCTCACTCCATGGGAAAACACTCAATCCACTGAGCCACACCGGTCAGGCTAAAAATACTTTATAAACAAATGTGGAATGATAGCATTTCCATTTAATCCACAGATATTATATAAACCTATAGTATTCAAAGTCAGAAAGCAGCAAACTACTGAATCCTGGGCCAAATTCAGCCTGTTTCCTGCTTTTGTACATAAAGTTTAATTGGAACATAGCCACGCCCAATTCATTCATTTATTGTTTAAGGCCACTTTCAGGCTTCAATGGCAGGGTCAAGTAGTTGTGACAGATCTTATGGCCTGTTTGCACACTCTAAAATATTTACTATCTGGCCCTTTACAGAAAAAGTTTGCTAAATCAAGACCATTTTTTTTAACCAATCACTTACCATCTACAATATAAGAAGTTAAGAGAGTTCATTTCCTTGGCTAGCAAAATCCCCTAATTTTCATTACTAAATAAGGATGTGCTGTAATCTTTTATCAGACTAGATGTTTTTTTATAATTGAAGTAAAATAGTAAATTCAGTATGTTAATATATTCACAAATATATAATCAAAGTATTTATTCAACTAAAATATCCTCTAAATTGAGACACCTTTCTGAGACAATTATCCATGCCTGACTAAACTCCCCAGGAATTAACCAAACAGTCTATAAGTCAAAACCTCTAGCAAAATCCTTTAGAAACAGAGAATGTAAAAGAGCAGTAAGTAAATTAATAGGTATGGAGTTTCTTTGGGGGGCAGATGAAAATGTTCTGGAATTAGGTAATGCTGATGGTTGTACAGCTCCTCCCACTCCCCAAAAGTAATCCCTCTCCCGACTTTCATAGTTATCACTTCCTTGGGTTTCTTCATAGATTTCTCATCCAAGTGTGTAAACCCAGACAGTTTAGTCTTGCACATTTTCTAAAAGCGTGGTGCGTCTTTTAAATCTCTTCATCTACAAGTTCACCTAGATATCATCTGAGCAGCCAGACGTCAAAAGCAAATCCCACAGACAAGCCAATGGGGCATTTAAGATCCTGGGGGCAGGGCTAACATTCAAACTCCGAGACAGACCTGGCCACGGGGGCACGCAGGTGGAGGCTGAGCCCCTCCCCTCATCAGCCCACCTTCAGACCCCCACGCCCGCGCTAGCAGCCTCAGCACCAGGGAACCGGGTAGAAATGCAGATTCTCGCCCCCCATCCCAGACCCATGGAATCAGAAACTCGAATCCCGGCCCAGCGCTCTATGTGAACTCGCCCGCGGGAAGCACGCTCAACTTGGCGAGCCGCAGGCCAAGCCACCCCTTCCCGAAGACCTAAAAGGCTGCAAGACGGTTTACTAAGCGTTCAACAGGTGCGCCTCCTCGCAGCACTTTACAGGCCGAATTAACTGCAGGCGTCGAGCTTGGTCTGACTTCGGACCGAGGGACGGCAGGAGAGGGAAAAAGAGTGAGTGGGTAGGCAGCGCCCTTCCAGACCCGCAGTCTCTATCGCGCCGGCTGAGGGAAACGCGAAGCCAGACTCATGCCCCTAAAACTGCCACACACCTGGTCGCTGAGGGGAGCGAGGCAACCGACCCACCACACAGCTCCTTTAGTGCGCGCGTCCGGAACCCTACCCCCCAGGACGGGCCCACTGGCCAAAGGCCGGGGGCGAAGCAATGGAGTACGGCGGGACCACAGAAGCCGCGTAAGGCCGTTGCGGGTCCAGCGCCCCTCAGCGTTTGGATTCGCCCACCCCGTCTCCAAGGCAGCACGCAGAACGCCGGGAAGAGTGCAGAGCACTGACTGGCTGAACAATTTCGGCACCTATTGGCTGGGGCCTGGAAGTGAGGCTGCCAGGGCGCCTCCCTCAACCCGAACGGCCTCGCGCCCAGCCTTCGGACGAATCCACCGACCCTGGACAGGGGCAGGAAGTGCTGGATGGAGGCGGGACACTAGGCGTCGGCGTCCGGCCTTGCGAGTTTAGCACCCCTCCGCATTTGGATTCGTCCATGCCGTCTCCAGGGCAGCACGCAGAACGCCGGAAGAAGCGCGGGGCGCTGACTGGCTGAGCAGTTTGGGTTCCTATTGGCTGGAGCCCGGAAGTAGGAGTCGGTTACGGACGGTTTGTCCATCCTAACAGGGTGTCAAGACTGGAATCTCGGACTATAGAGAGGACCTACCTGGGCAGTAGTTGCATAGTTGGGGGCGCTGGAGCCCTGGGCTCTCGTCATTCCTTCTCAGCCTCACTGACCTCAGGCGTTTCCCTCCATCCGTTTTCTTGCTGACGCCCTCCGGAGCCCAGGTGGACGTGGCAACATAGTCCACCCACAGAACGTCTGATTCTGCAGTTCTGAATGAGGCCCAAATTTTTGCATGTCTAGCAAGTTACCAGGTGATGTGGATGTTGCTGATCAGGGACCATGCCTAACAAATCTGTATGTAGAGGAATAACCGTGCCTCTGATCTCAGGTGAATCATATGTACTATTCTTTGACTTCTAACCCTTCCTACCTTCTCAGGAATCTCAAATTATTGTTAGTTTTATATACAGGCATAACCTCTTTTAATTGCCTTCTGCTTTATTGCATTTCTCGGGTGTTGCATTTTTTACAAGGCAAGACCTCCACCCACCAGCAAAAAGATTAGGACTTACTTGAATGCAGTGGTAGAACCAAACCTACAATATATCCAAGATATGCCTGTATTTAACAGCTTTGATATGGAAAAGAAGTTTCCTCTAAATCACTCTCTAATTAATGAAGACATAAAATTAGATATCAACTGCTTTATTCCGAGTTTTGATAAACAACAAAAGCGTTAATCTCAGAAACAATATCAGATCCCAGTACTTCTTAGCCTAGGTTCCTTGGATGCCTCTGGGCAATACATGAGCCTGCTAAAACAGTTAACATTTTGTGTGCAAGTGTATTCTGGCTAGAGAGGACATGGGTTTGATCAGATCCTCAAGGGTACCAGTGACCCAGAAAAAATGGAAGCTTTCCTGATATAGGCAATTGTAAGACAGTATCACAAAAGACAAACAAGTGAATACAAGGATCTGGCAGGATCCGGCTCAGTGGCCACCACTAGTCCAGATGTTGAACCTGGACATCAGTTCCATAACATAAAACAGTTGTGTGCTGTTTAGGTTCTTGAGCAGGATGGAGAGCTGAAACACCATGTTTTGTGAAGGCTTCAATTCCTGAACACTTTCAGAGTGACTTTTGCCTTCACCTCAGTTTTACATTTTCATTCTTATAGTTGATAAGAATGAATCTGACGTGAAGGATACCAGATGCTGTTACGCAGGCAACCTCCTCTTCTCAGAAATATCTTATGCCTCCTCTTCATCTTGATTATCACAAAGAATCTCTTCATTCAGCCACATAGAAAGTTCTTTCTTTGGGCTGGATGTTGTGGAGAAAAAAATTATTAGTTATTATCTTCATTCAAAGCAGCATTCAAAATAATAATACTGATACATGTAAAGTTAGCAACAAAAAAAATAGAGAAAATGAAAACATTAAGAAAATTCACTTGGGTTTTGGAGAGGAGTTAGAACAAAAACTACATATTTTGAAGGCTCTGAAGGACTATAGGTGCTCAGGGTGAGTCCTGAAATGGGCTTTATGTATTCTAGCTGCTATTGGAAAAGCATAACCCTTAAACCTTCCCTGGCTACAAAGTAAAAGCAAACCATTTGGTCAGGAAAAATCTATTCTCGAGAGAAATGCATCCCTGGGTCTTCAACATGCACTGTAAAGAGCTGTGTCGATGCAAACACTGATTTCATGTTCCCTCCCTATAGTTAGCACCATACCACACCTGATTCCGCAGTGTTGGCTCTGCAGGAGTTGATATGCTTCAGGGCAAGCACTCAGCTTTCCTTGTTGGTTTAGTCTGGGGACACTTTCCTGGTAGGAGATCAGCAGAGAGGCTTCCATAGCACTGCTACCCTTAGGTCAAACTTTTATTTATTTTTTTATTTTATTTTTTCTTGTGGTACATGCCCCTAGCGGGAACTGAACCCAGGACTCTCTGGTCCGCAGGCCAACACTCAACCACTGAGCCAAACTGGCCAGGGAAGGTCAAGCTTTTAAAGGTAGAACAGTTATCGATCCAGGCTTATCCACCCTGGGAATACCTGGAGTGTAGCTCTTCCATACCTCCCAGTGAAATAGGAAGGCCCGTGTTGCAGAAGTTCACATAGTCTTGTGACAACTGAGAGGCCCAAGAAAGATGCTCCACTTCCTTAGAAGGAAACCAAAAGAGAACCCTGGGTTTCCAAAGACTATGACTGTCCTAAAATAATCTGCACTCACGATTCAAAATGAAGAACTGAACATGTCAGTTTACCACACAGCCTCCCAAAACCTTACTGAAATGACTGAATCTAGATTAATATCATAACAGCACTAAGAACAAGGAAGGGAACCATCAAGAGATGAACAATCTGAGACATTTCTGGAACAAAGAAAGCACTTGGCTTCAGATAAGCAGAGGATCTCTGGCAGAATTAACCCCAACTCAGCCACTAACATGTGAGTCCTGGAGTATTTAGTCCTCATCTTGGTAATGGAAGGAATCCCATCTCCACTACCACCTGACCTCACCACCCTAGGAAGTGTCTCCCTGCAGTGGCTTTGGCTTTTGAGATAAAACCTGGAAGTACTTTCTAAACAACATGAACAAAGGCCCCAGAGCAGTGGAGAATGGAGAGTGCCCTCTGAACCATGAGACTTTCCTGCAAAGAGGGGATGCCAGCAGCTAGGCTTCTACTCTTCAGTAAAAAGATGGGAAGGTTCCTTGTTGGGAAAAGAGATTTGCCCAAAACAAAATACTAACATCTGGCAGGAGGGGAAAGTCTCCAATAAAAGGGCTATCTCGGGGCCTTATCACCACAAAATGAAGCTCACTAATCAGTAAACCCTGAAATATGGAATAAACCCTGAGTGAGGCTCTTAATGCCTTACTCTTGCACATGGACATATGGCCAGAAATAGTAATAAATGTGAGGACAGGCACTAATATGAATGAGATTAAAATAGGCAAACCAGTAAAAGTAACTCAGAGGAAACAAAAACCATGCAGACAGCAAACTGAAACTTCCAACTTATCATTTTTTAAAGAGATGAAAAGGTATAATATTCACAGTTTGCATTTTGTGTTTCCTTTAACCCAAGAGATATTTAAGAGTTGGAGTTCTTTTTGTTGTTCATTAGAAACGGGGTGGATTTTGTTGCTGTTGGCCTGTGTGATATTTAATTTTAGGAATTTATTGAAATTTTTATGGTCTAATCAATGGCTAATATTTTTAAGTGTTCCACAAGAGTTGGAAAGATTATGTTTTTATTTGTTGGCTTCAAATTTCATATGCATACTTTCAAGCGAATTAACTGATATGTTCAGATCTTCCAAGTCTTCTTTCTATGTTGCTTTGTCCTGCTTGCTCTGCCAGTTGCTGAGGAAGGTGTTTTGAAGTTACTCATGTTATGGATTTGTCAATTATTCATTTTGGGGTTTAGTTCCAGGACAGTACTCTTAGAAAAATAACAAAATGATCCCAATGAAAGTAGAATGAAAGCACTAGTAGATGAAAACATAAATGAATGAAGCAGAAGGGAGGAAATGTGCTAGCCAGGGGCATCAATCCAGAGGGCAGGAGATGGTTCCATGGTGCTCTTCAGTGTTGTTCCCAGGAGAACCGGCGCAGAGGCTGGCCATGGTGTCGTGGGTCTCCAGCTCTCTCTAAGATGTGATGTGCTCCATTCTCAGGTTACCAGCTCGGAACGGGTTCTCCTGGAGACAGAAGCTGGAGTCTGCAAGCCTCAGGACTGTGGCACCCATCAGCCTGGAGGGCCCGGGAGGGTCATTCTTCAGCACCATCTTGCTAGTGTGAACACGCTGGAAGAGCCAGACACCACCTCCCTCTTGGATGGGAGATTCTCAAACTTATAATACTAATTCATAGCCCTTAAAACCTCTGGCCTCCTCAGAGGTCTTCTTCATTTAATAAAAGAATTAGTCACACATATTGTAGCAACTCCCAAATGGATTAGATTTTCAGGGAAATGATGTGGGGTTATTGGGGGGGGGTAATCTTGCAAGAAAATTTTTTAAAATAATTTTTCTATATTGATTTTTAGAGAGAGAGAAAGGAAGAGGGAGAGAGAGAGAGAACCATTAATGAGAGAGAACATCAGTTGGCTGCCTCCTGCATGCCCCTCATTGGGGGTCGGGCCCACAACCTGGGCATGTGCCCTCACCAGGAATCAAACTGGTGACCTCTTGGTGCATAGGTCGATGCTCAAACACTGAGCCACACCAACCAGCCTGCAACAAATATCTTTTTTTTTTAAATTTAATTATTAATTTATTTTTGTTACATATGTTTCTCCTTTTCCCCCCACTGATTGCCTTCTCCCCCTCCCTCCCTGCCCTGTACCCAGCTTTGTTGTCCATGTCCATTGTTCATGCATACATGGATATAAGTTCTGTGGTTTATCTCTCCCCCACCACCCCCTCTTCTGTGAATTTTCAGTCTCTACCCCACTTCCACATGTCTGGGACTACCCCATTACTCA